CCCATGTGAGCCAAACACCCAGCCCCATGTGAGCCAAACACCCAGCCCCATGTGAGCCAAACACCCAGCCCCATGTGAGCCAAACACCCAGCCCCATGTGAGCCAAACACCCAGCCCCATGTGAGCCAAACACCCAGCCCCATGTGAGCCATGTGAGTATTACAGTGGTTTTACACTTTATCCATGAGTCTACCTGAGAACCGACATAGCACCATGGACAGCGACAATACTTTACTTTAGAATCTTCTGGAAACAGCAGCGAGTCCAAAGTGTGTCTGAAACTGTTTGTGTTTTATGATTTTTATTTTGCTTTTTTCTGCCTGAGATGTTGCTGCAGTACAGTGTTCATGGTTTTACACTGGTCCAGACCAGAGCAGAGAAAATGGTCTGAACCTCCACCTCTGCTGCTGTGACTGAAGGACTGATGTTATTAATACGATTATTGTTAGATACTTTTAGAATGATACTTTTTATTTTTTATTTTGCTGCTGGACACCTGAGTTCCTCCAACAGGGATCAATAAAGTATCTATCTGTTTAGGAACACAAACCCTGGCATAAGAATCACATTTCATATATTACATAATCATTCTGCAGTCTTTCAATAACAACATCGTATAATTGTTTGAAGCCAAAAGCAAAAACATATTTCAAAGATGTCAAGCATTACTGCTATAAAATAATAATAATAATAATAACAATAATGATAATAATACATCAGTTCTAAAGACTTGTTTTGTACTGAAAGACACATGTCATTATTCATTCACTCCACACACAAAACTGTAGCCACAGCTGCCCTGGGGCACACTGACAGACACGAGAAGTAAGGCAACCAGCCATTCACACACATCAGACTCATTCTGGACACTGTAGGTTGAGTGTCTTGCCCAAGGACACAACGACAGTTTGGCACTTTACAGCCACAGCTCCCATCACACTAACGAGGCTCTGCTTAGCTTGATATTGTACAGTATGTGTCAATTTCATACGTCACATGTGGAAACACACACACACACACACACATGTGTAAACACACACACACACACATGTGGAAACACACACACGACACATTCTGCATGACACACACACATGTCTTATTCACAGTCTTCACACACTGCCTCTGGGCCCAGAGGACGGGCCTGACCTACATTCTGCAGAACAACAGGAGAGGTCAGAGGTCACTTGACTCAGAGGTCAGAGGTCACTGGTAGATTCCTCTGCATCAATGTCATTCATGTATTTTTTATGACTTTAGGGATTATTTCTTTCTCTTTAAAAAAAAATTTGAAGTAGCAATATGTAAGATTTTCATGTCAAGTCATCATTAAAGGGCCCTACTCTGTCATCATTAAAGGGCCCTAATCTGTCATAATTAAAGGGCCCTAATCTGTCGTCATTAAAGGGCCCTAATCTGTCATCATTAAAGGGCCCTAATCTGTCGTCATTAGGGCCCTAATCTGTCGTCATTAAAGGGCCCTAATCTGTCGTCATTAAAGGGCCCTAATCTGTCGTCATTAAAGGGCCCTGATCTGTCGTCATTAAAGGGCCCTAATCTGTCGTCATTAAAGGGCCCTGATCTGTCGTCATTAAAGGGCCCTAATCTGTCGTCATTAAAGGGCCCTAATCTGTCGTCATTAAAGGGCCCTAATCTGTTGTCATTAAAGGGCCCTGATCTGTCGTCATTAAAGGGCCCTAATCTGTCGTCATTAAAGGGCCCTAATCTGTCGTCATTAAAGGGCCCTGATCTGTCGTCATTAAAGGGCCCTAATCTGTCGTCATTAAAGGGCCCTAATCTGTCGTCATTAAAGGGCTCTAATCTGTCATAATTAAAGGGCTCTAATCTGTCATCATTAAAGGGCCCTAATCTGTCATCATTAAAGGGCCCTAATCTGTTGTCATTAAAGGGCCCTGATCTGTCGTCATTAAAGGGCCCTAATCTGTCATCATTAAAGGGCCCTAATCTGTTGTCATTAAAGGGCCCTAATCTCTCGTCATTAAAGGGCCCTAATCTGTCATCATTAAAGGGCTCTAATCTGTCATCATTAAAGGGCCCTAATCTCTCATCATTAAAGGGCCCTAATCCGTCATCATTAAAGGGCCCTAATCTGTCATCATTAAAGGGCTCTAATCTGTCATCATTAAAGGGCCCTAATCTCTCATCATTAAAGGGCCCTAATCCGTCATCATTAAAGGGCCCTAATCTAATAAACTGTTCTTTTCCAATCCTTCTTTAACTGATAACAGTCGTTCAGAGATATTTGAATTTCTAAATTACTTTTCCAGCCCCTAAATCTTGTTATTGTTTTCATTTCGATGTCCCGCCCTCCACCGTTTCACCAATCAGAAAGTCTGTGATCCGGGCGCCAGAACTCACCGCGTGGAGCTAATCTCACTGGTAAAGTACCATGTGGCACAGAACTAAAAAAGATCTCGTTATGATTCTCAAATCATTTATGACAAAACAAGGAATAAAACCAGGATTTCTATCTTTGTGAAAAAGGTGTTGGTTATAGATTTGTTGTTGACAAAACTCTTGTCTATTCAGCTGTTATGGTCCCAGCTGGATTCGTCTGCATATCTGGCAACCTGAGTCAGGGAGAGTGGGAGAGGCTGCAGTACCACTTTTGGCCACATGTTTACAGACTGCAGATAAAAACTGTCTCAAAAACACAGATGATAAAAAAGAGTAACATGGGGCTTCTTTAGTAAAACACATTAATCTATTATCATGTATTTGCTTTAACACATTTATAACTTTGTAGTAGACACATTTACTATCAAGAATTCCTGAAAATCCTGTGACTTTTTGAGTTCGGTGCAAACAAACACACACACAAAGAAGTCAAAATAATTATAAAGTAGAAAAAGTAAACGTTTAAAATCATGGGAACTACACCAAAACCGACAAATATCCAGAACTAATGCCATGTACCGTTTCCTTCTCTTGGAGGCCGTCATGTATTTGCTGTGGTCCCATTCTTTGACCTGCTCTGGTTAAGTTTAGAAAATAAAACAGATAAAAAGGACTCCAAAAGCCTGAAACAGACACCACACATTTATCTCAAACTGAACCTACTTTAAAATCCCAGCCGTCGTTCACTGAGACGCTGCTTCTTTAAAAAGGAGAGAGTGAGAGAAATAACATGGCACCAACTACTACCACAATTACCCACCGTGGGGTAATCACAAGCACAATGCACTCTGGGTAGTCTGGCTGAGAGAGAGGGAGGAACACTCAGGTGAGGAGAAGACACGCAATCAGCCCAGCAGGAACACACACGGCCATTTCTCTAATGTCCAAGGGAGATCCGGGCCCTTAATTACCTGATGAGTCTGGTGAGAGAGAGGTGCGTGTGTGTGTGTGTGTGTGTGTGTGTGTGTGACGTGGGTGGGTGTGTGTGTGTGTGAGAGAGATGCGTGTGTGTGTGTGTATATGTGTGTGAGAGAGGTGCGTGTGTGTGAGAGAGAGGTGCGTGTGTGTGTGTGAGAGAGAGAGGTGCGTGTGGGTGTGTGTGAGAGAGAGAGGTGCGTGTGGGTGTGTGTGAGAGAGAGAGGTGCGTGCGTGTGAGAGAGAGAGGTGCATGTGTGTGTGTGTGAGAGAGAGAGGTGCGTGCGTGTGAGAGAGAGATGCGTGTGTGTGTGTGTGATATGTGTGAGAGATGTGTGTGTGTGTGAGAGAGAGGTGCGTGTGTGTGAGAGAGAGGTGCGTGTGTGTGTGTGAGAGAGAGAGAGGTGCGTGTGTGCGTGTGAGAGAGAGAGGTGCATGTGGGTGTGTGTGAGAGAGAGAGGTGCGTGCGTGTGAGAGAGAGATGCGTGTGTGTGTGTGTGTATATGTGTGTGAGAGATGTGTGTGTGTGTGAGAGAGAGGTGCGTGTGTGTGAGAGAGAGGTGCGTGTGTGTGTGTGAGAGAGAGAGGTGCGTGTGTGCGTGTGAGAGAGAGAGGTGCATGTGGGTGTGTGTGAGAGAGAGAGGTGGGTGTGTGTGAGAGAGAGAGGTGCGTGCGTGTGTGTGAGAGAGAGAGGTGCATGTGGGTGTGTGTGAGAGAGAGAGGTGCATGTGGGTGTGTGTGAGAGAGAGAGGTGCGTGAGTGTGTGTGAGAGAGAGAGGTGCGTGTGTGTGTGTGAGAGAGAGAGGTGCGTGTGTGTGAGAGAGAGGTGCGTGTGTGCGTGTGAGAGAGAGAGGTGCATGTGTGTGTGTGTGAGAGAGGTGCGTGTGTGTGTGTGTGAGAGAGAGGTGCGTGTGTGTGAGAGAGAGAGGTGCGTGTGTGTGTGTGAGAGAGGTGCGTGTGAGAGAGAGAGGTGCGTGTGTGTGAGAGAGAGAGGTGCGTGTGTGTGTGTGACAGAGAGGTGCGTGCGTGTGTGTGTGTGAGAGAGAGATGTGCGTGTGTGACAGAGAGGTGTGCGTAAGCGTGTGTGTGAGAGAGAGTGTGTGTACGTAATCAAACCCGGGGAGAGATCAATGAGCTGAGACGCTGTGTAGAGAGAGACGCTGTGTAGAGAGGAGAGAGAGAGAGAGAGAGAGAGAGAGAGAGTGAGAGAGAGAGGAGAGTGAGAGAGAGATGAGAGGGAGAGAGAGAGAGAGAGAGAGAGATAGAGAGAGGAGAGAGAGAGAGAGAGAGAGAGAGAGAGAGAGAGAGAGAGAGAGAGAGAGAGAGAAGAAGCGAGAGAGAGAGAGAGAGAGGAGAGAGAGAGAGAGAGAGAGAGAGATGAAGCGATAGAGAGGACGGAGTAAAGGAGGTAAAGGTGATTAACGCTGAGAGAAGAAGAAGCCTGAACACTGTCTCTCCAGCGGCTGTCGTGCGTCACGGTCGAGGACAGAACTGCAGATACCGGGCTGCACCACGAACGGCAGCTCCAACCACAAAACCTTCTGTCTCGTTTCTGTTTTACCGCAAAGACACTCGATCTAAAGAAACTCAGCTCAGGTCTAAATACTAAAATACTAAATTCCTGTTAAAAAAAATCATGGAGAAAAAAAAATTGTATTGAGAAGACGAAGGGAACGAAAAGAAGGTTCTGGGTTTGAATCCTGGGCAGAATAGGGTCTTCCTGAGTGGAGTATATATGCTCTCCCTGTGGCTGCTCCAGAATTCCTCCAGGTGCTCCAGTTTCCTCCAGGTCCTCCAGTTTCCTCCAGGTGCTCCAGTTTCCTCCAGGTGCTCCAGTTTCCTCCAGGTCCTCCAGTTTCCTCCAGGTGCTCCAGTTTCCTCCAGGTGCTCCAGTTTCCTCCAGGTGCTCCAGTTTCCTCCAGGTCCTCCAGTTTCCTCCAGGTGCTCCAGTTTCCTCCAGGTCCTCCAGTTTCCTCCAGGTGCTCCAGTTTCCTCCAGGTGCTCCAGTTTCCTCCAGGTCCTCCAGTTTCCTCCAGGTGCTCCAGTTTCCTCCAGGTGCTCCAGTTTCCTCCAGGTCCTCCAGTTTCCTCCAGGTGCTCCAGTTTCCTCCAGGTCCTCCAGTTTCCTCCAGGTGTTCCAGTTTCCTCCAGGTACTCAAGGTCCACAACTACTGAATAAACAAGGTCGGGACAGAACTGCAGATACCGGGCTGCACCACAAACGGCAGCGCCAACCACAAAACCTTCTGTCTTGTTTCTTGAAGGTGGACTCGGCTCGGGTCGGCTCGGGTCAGCTCGGGTCAGCTCGGGTCAGCTCGGGTCGGCTCGGGTCAGCTCGGTCGGCTCGGGTCAGCTCGGGTCAGCTCGGGTCGGCTCGGGTCAGCTCGGGTCAGCTCGGGTCAGGAGCTCTTGTTTATTCTGTATTTGTAGATTTTCCAGAGCAGTCATAAAGAAAAACATCTCACAAATCACTAGTTTCAATTTACGAACATTTGACTATTTTTCGAGTATTTTCAGCCGTTTGCAAAAGGAATTGATGCCCCACATTTAGCCGTTTTCTAGCTTAAGCTGAACGGTTTTTACTTTTCTTTCACAAAATGTCCATATTCAGCAAATACCACATTCTTTAGCATCAGAACCAAACACCTGCTGAAAGTCCAATCACCGATGATGCTGCTCCAGCTTACTTTTTATCAGTCATAATTAAATATAGATCAAATAACACAAAATACACACAAATATGTCTGTGGGATATGTGTGTGTGTGTGGGATATGTGTGTGTGTTTGTGAGATATGTGTGTGTATCTGTGAGATATGTGTGTGTGTGTGAGATATGTGTGTGTGTCTGTGGGATATGTGTGTGTATCTGTGAGATATGTGTGTGTGTGTGAGATATGTGTGTGTGTCTGTGAGATATGTGTGTGTATCTGTGGGATATGTGTGTGTATCTGTGGGATATGTGTGTGTGCGTGTGTCTGTGAGATATGTGTGTGTGTGTGTGTGTCTGTGAGATGTGTGTGTGTGTGTGTCTGTGAGATGTGTGTATGCTTCAGTACAGTGTGGCTGATTGCAGGTCTCAAAGCACTGATGAGCTCTATTGTTCTCCCCTCGCCTCCCCCTCCCCTCCCCCTCCCTCTCCACACTCGCACACACAGACACTCACACACAGACACACACACACAGACACACACAGACACAAACATACTCCCCCTGCCTCACCCCCGCCTCACCCAGCTACCTCTGTCGTCCAGAATACCAAATGATGCAGTCTGCAGATGGATCGGGCTGTCTGTCATGTGACCCTATATGTCCTGAGGCTTTAGCCTGGGATGACAGTAGGCACGCACACACACACACACAAACACACACACACACGCAAGCATGCACGTACACACACACACACACACAGAAATGTACGCACACATACATGGAACACACACACAGAAACTGCTAGCCGTATCTGCACTGAAACACACATTCATTGGGGAGGCATGTACGCACACCAGGGCAGGCTAATGGGCACGAACACACACACACAGAAGCGCGCACACACACACACACACGCACACACACAGACACACACAAATCATCACTGCAGCGGAGGGAACCAGAGAAGAGAGCAGGATCCCCTCTGTTCACATGGCTTGATTTTCCCTCCTCACACACACACACACACACACACACACAGCCACACACACACACACACACACACACACACACACACCCCTCCTCTCTCACACAAACACATTCGTCACTGACAGGGTAGTACACAGGCGCTGGGGATCCTGTAGCACCAAAAATAGCGTCTAATAGAGAGTGATAAAATGGGTCTCTCCTGTTCCCACATCACTACAGCCAAAGACATGCGACATCACAAGACTGTTTCCATTTGAGAGAATCATGCTGTAATTTAAAACAGCTTCTCTGAAAAGGCAGAAACAGTCGACTGCCGGACGCCTGTCGCAAAAAGCTCCAAAACAGCTCAGTTCTTTTTTGAACGCCACAATTTCACTCAAAAACCGTTTGTGATTCTGGAAACACACTAAAACACACGTGTCAAACAAACAGCAGAGAAATCCTCCGTTATCTGCATTATATCGTGTTTCAAAATACTAAACTCCTGGAAAAAAATTATGGAAAAAAAAGAAAAGTATTTAGAAGACGAATGGAACAAAGAAGGTTCTGGGTTCGATTTCCCGGTCGAAATAGGGTCTTTCTGAAAAGAGTTTATTTGCTCTCCCTGTGTCTGCGTAGATGTTCTCCATGAGCTTCGGTTTCCTCCAGGTGCTCCGGATTCCTCCATGTGCTCCGGTTTCCTCCAGGTGCTCCGGTTTCCTCCAGGTGCTCCGGTTTTCTCAAGGTGCTCCGGTTTCCTCCAGGTGCTCCGGTTTCCTCCAGGTGCTCCAGTTTCCTCCAGGTGCTCCGGTTTCCTCCATGTCCTCCGGTTTCCTCCATGTCCTCCGGTTTCCTCCATGTCCTCCGGTTTCCTCCATGTCCTCCGGTTTCCTCCAGGTGCTCCGGTTTCCTCCAGGTGCTCCGGTTTCCTCCAGGTGCTCCGGTTTTCTCAAGGTGCTCCGGTTTCCTCCAGGTGCTCCGGTTTCCTCCAGGTGCTCCAGTTTCCTCCATGTCCTCCGGTTTCCTCCATGTCCTCCGGTTTCCTCCAGGTGCTCCGGTTTCCTTCATGTGCTCCGGTTTCCTCCAGGTGCTCCAGTTTCCTCCAGGTGCTCCAGTTTCCTCAAGGTGCTCCGGATTCCTCCAGGTGCTCCAGTTTCCTCCAGGTGCTCAAGTTTCCTCCAGGTGCTCAAGTTTCCTCCAGGTGCTCCAGTTTCCTCCAGGTGCTCCGGTTTCCTCCAGGTGCTCCGGTTTCCTCCAGGTGCTCCGGTTTCCTCCAGGTGCTCCGGTTTCCTCCAGGTGCTCCGGTTTCCTCCAGGTGCTCCGGTTTCCTCAAGGTGCTCCGGTTTCCTCCAGGTGCTCAAGTTTCCTCCAGGTGCTCCAGTTTCCTCCAGGTGCTCCGGTTTCCTCCAGGTGCTCCAGTTTCCTCCAGGTGCTCCGGTTTCCTCCAGGTGCTCAAGTTTCCTCCAGGTGCTCCAGTTTCCTCCAGGTGCTCCGGTTTTCCTCAAGGTGCTCCGGTTTCCTCCAGGTGCTCCGGTTTCCTCCAGGTGCTCCAGTTTCCTCCATGTCCTCCGGTTTCCTCCATGTCCTCCGGTTTCCTCCAGGTGCTCCGGTTTCCTTCATGTGCTCCGGTTTCCTCCAGGTGCTCCAGTTTCCTCCAGGTGCTCCAGTTTCCTCAAGGTGCTCCGGATTCCTCCAGGTGCTCCAGTTTCCTCCAGGTGCTCAAGTTTCCTCCAGGTGCTCAAGTTTCCTCCAGGTGCTCCAGTTTCCTCCAGGTGCTCCGGTTTCCTCAAGGTGCTCCGGTTTCCTCCAGGTGCTCCAGTTTCCTCAAGGTGCTCCCGGTTTCCTCCAGGTGCTCCGGTTTCCTCCAGGTGCTCCGGTTTCCTCCAGGTGCTCCAGTTTCCTCAAGGTGCTCGGTTTCCTCCAGGTGCTCAAGTTTCCTCCAGGTGCTCCAGTTTCCTCCAGGTGCTCCGGTTTCCTCCAGGTGCTCCAGTTTCCTCCAGGTGCTCCGGTTTCCTCCAGGTGCTCAAGTTTCCTCCAGGTGCTCCAGTTTCCTCCAGGTGCTCCGGTTTCCTCAAGGTGCTCCGGATTCCTCCAGGTGCTCCAGTTTCCTCCAGGTGCTCCGGTTTCCTCCAGGTGCTCCAGTTTCCTCCAGGTGCTCCGGTTTCCTCCAGGTGCTCCAGTTTCCTCCAGGTACTCCAGTTTCCTCCATGTCCTCCGGTTTCCTCCAGGTGCTCCGGTTTCCTCCAGGTGCTCCAGTTTCCTCCAGGTCCTCCGGTTTCCTCCAGGTGCTCCGGTTTCCTCCAGGTGCTCCGGTTTCCTCCAGGTGCTCCAGTTTCCTCCAGGTGCTCCGGTTTCCTCCAGGTGCTCCAGTTTCCTCCAGGTGCTCCAGTTTCCTCAAGGTGCTCCGGATTCCTCCAGGTGCTCCAGTTTCCTCCAGGTGCTCAAGTTTCCTCCAGGTGCTCAAGTTTCCTCCAGGTGCTCCAGTTTCCTCCAGGTGCTCCGGTTTCCTCAAGGTGCTCCGGTTTCCTCCAGGTGCTCCAGTTTCCTCAAGGTGCTCCGGTTTCCTCCAGGTGCTCCGGTTTCCTCCAGGTGCTCCGGTTTCCTCCAGGTGCTCCAGTTTCCTCAAGGTGCTCCGGTTTCCTCCAGGTGCTCAAGTTTCCTCCAGGTGCTCCAGTTTCCTCCAGGTGCTCCGGTTTCCTCCAGGTGCTCCAGTTTCCTCCAGGTGCTCCGGTTTCCTCCAGGTGCTCAAGTTTCCTCCAGGTGCTCCAGTTTCCTCCAGGTGCTCCGGTTTCCTCAAGGTGCTCCGGATTCCTCCAGGTGCTCCAGTTTCCTCCAGGTGCTCCGGTTTCCTCCAGGTGCTCCAGTTTCCTCCAGGTGCTCCGGTTTCCTCCAGGTGCTCCAGTTTCCTCCAGGTACTCCAGTTTCCTCCATGTCCTCCGGTTTCCTCCAGGTGCTCCGGTTTCCTCCAGGTGCTCCAGTTTCCTCCATGTCCTCCGGTTTCCTCCAGGTGCTCCGGTTTCCTCCAGGTGCTCCGGTTTCCTCCAGGTGCTCCAGTTTCCTCCAGGTGCTCCGGTTTCCTCCAGGTGCTCCAGTTTCCTCCAGGTGCTCCAGTTTCCTCCATGTCCTCCGGTTTCCTCCAGGTGCTCCGGTTTCCTCCAGGTGCTCCGGTTTCCTCCAGGTGCTCCAGTTTCCTCCAGGTGCTCCGGTTTCCTCCAGGTGCTCCAGTTTCCTCCAGGTGCTCCAGTTTCCTCCATGTCCTCCGGTTTCCTCCAGGTGCTCCGGTTTCCTCCAGGTGCTCCGGTTTCCTCCAGGTGCTCCAGTTTCCTCCAGGTGCTCCGGTTTCCTCCAGGTGCTCCAGTTTCCTCCAGGTGCTCCGGTTTCCTCCAGGTGCTCCGGTTTCCCCCACCACTCAAAACAAGTCTACTACTTCTGAATGTAGTGCGTGGTGTTTGGTCGGAGGCTTTGATGGAGCAGTGTGTTCAGGCCTCTCTCTGTCATCACCGTGTGGAGAGAATGGAACATTATCTGAACGTCACAAAGCTGTAAGAATGCGCTACATAAATAAACATGACTGATTTACTAAACACAGAAACTGACACAGAAACGACAACATTGAGTCACACCTGGACTTAAAAAATCTGTATCAACTTTTACTACTTTTCATAATATTCATTACTTTCTACAAAAACCACTACAATAACTCAGAATATACAAAATACTGTTTGTAAAATCACACAAAATAAGGCTAAATACACACAATAAAATAAGGCTAAATACACACAATAAAATAAGGCTAAATACACACAATAAAATAAGGCTAAATACACACAATAAAATAAGGCTAAATACACACAATAAAATAAGGCTAAATACACACAATAAAATAAGGCTAAATACACACAATAAAATAAGGCTAAATACACACAATAAAATAAGGCTAAATACACACAATAAAATAAGGCTAAATACACACAATAAAATAAGGCATACAAATACATAAATAAAATAGGCTAAATACACACAATAAAATAAGGCTAAATACACACAATAAAATAAGGCTAAATACACAATAAAATACAATACACACAATAAAATAAGGCTAAATAAATAAGGCTAAATACACACAATAAAATAAGGCTAAATACACACATAAAATAAGGCTAAATACACACACAAATAAAATAAGGCTAAATACATACAATAAAATAAGGCTAAATACACACAATAAAATAAGGCTAAATACACACAATAAAATAAGGCTAAATACACACAATAAAATAAGGCTAAATACATACAATAAAATAAGGCTAAATACACACAATAAAATAAGGCTAAATACACACAATAAAATAAGGCTAAATACACACAATAAAATAAGGCTAAATACACACAATAAAATAAGGCTAAATACACACAATAAAATAAGGCTAAATACACACAATAACCAAATAATCCACCAAAAGAATAATATAAATGTGTGTATTTAATCTCATTCAGTATTTTGGTTCCCACACGCTGATGTTTTACTGCGCTCTTTCTTCTCACTTCTCTCAACACCTGATGTGAAATATGTGCGTTCTGGATCCATGTCAGAAAAGTTGTTATGTTGGTATCACACTGTGTGGTGCCGCCACATCGGGGCGACACCGCGAGAAAAGACGGTTTTTAATGTACATCACTGCAAGAATGAAAATGTGTGTACTATGGGTTAGCATGTGTACTTTGGGTTAGCATGTGTGCTCTGGGTTAGCATGTGTGCTCTGGGGTTAGCATGTGTACTTTGGGTTAGCATGTGTGCTCTGGGGTTAGCATGTGTGCTCTGGGGTTAGCATGTGTGCTCTGGGGTTAGCATGTGTGCTCTGGGGTTAGCATGTGTGCTCTGGGGTTAGCATGTGTGCTCTGGGGTTAGCATGTGTGCTCTGGGGTTAGCATGTGTGCTCTGGGGTTAGCATGTGTGCTCTGGGGTTAGCATGTGTGCTCTGGGGTTAGCATGTGTGCTCTGGGGTTAGCATGTGTGCTCTGGTCCCTGGGGGCCTCTTCATGCGTCCCCGTGGGCTCAGGTGGATCACTAACTCGACAGATGGACATTTGGAGCAGATTTACGCCCTGCAGCTAAAACACACACACACACACGTGAAACACATACACACACACACACACACGATCACACACACACGATCACACACACACACACACGATCACACACACACACACACGATCACACACACACGAGAACACACACACACAATCACACACACACGAGAACACACACACACACACATGGTCGCACACACACACGATCACACACACACGAGAACACACACACACACACGGTCGCACACACACACACACACACACATGGTCGCACACACACACACACACACATGGTCGCACACACACACACACACACACATGGTCGCACACACACACACACACACACTGGTCGCACACACACACACACACACACACATGGTCGCACACACACACACACACACATGGTCGCACACACACACACACACACACATGGTCGCACACACACACACACACACATGGTCGCACACACACACACACACACACACATGGTCGCACACACACACACACACACATGGTCGCACACACACACACATGGTCGCACACACACACACATGGTCGCACACACACACACACACACATGGTCGCACACACACACACACACACATGGTCGCACACACACACACACACACATGGTCGCACACACACACACACACACATGGTCGCACACACACACACATGGTCGCACACACACACACATGGTCGCACACACACACACACACACACATGGTCGCACACACACACACACACACATGGTCGCACACACACACACACACACGGTCGCTCTCCCACAAACAGCTGTAACTTTATCGTTGCGTAACTCGAGCTGCGACTGAACCATGAAAACACCGAGTCACGGAGACAGATCCAATATTCCATTTGTCTAAACACGGCGTAAGTCAAAACGGCCCAAATCTTCAGCTCTGCCCTGAAAATACCTCCAGAAGATTTAGCCGTAGCCATTAGCATGCGCATGTTAGCAAGCGCAAATATAATGTGTGTCTATTCTGAGCCAGAACCCATTACTTTACAGATTTATCATCATTTTACGGATTCGGCTTCATTAAAACATAACAAACATAGTATTGGGTCAAATCAATCAATCAATCAACGTTTATTTGTAGAGCGCCTTTCCTACACAAGGCAACGCAAAGCGCCTCACAACCCATATAACATCATGCATAAATCATCAAACATTAGAATTTAAGTAAACATAAAAAGACAGATTAAGAGCACAAGATATATAAAATTACACAAGTAGTTAAAAACCGTAAAAAATTAAAATCACACAAGGGATTACAATCATAAATAATCATAAATAATCATAGCGCATTAACCTCCTGAGACCCGAGCATTTGTCTGGTGTGCATTTTATATATTTTTTTGCTATTTAGGATAAGTAGGACCCAATAAGTATAATACCTAAATTGTGATTTTGTACAGGAAGTAGTTTTTGAGAAAAAACATGTCCTCGTATGAGGACAGTGGGTCTCTCATAACCTAAAGAGAAAATGTATGATCTTTTAGGCCGGAAGGTCCTAATTAGTTGAAATTCAAAATTTCAGCTTGATCCAATTAGTACTTCTCTCAAAAATCAATGTCCTCACATGAGGACAGTGGGTCGACCTTACTATACAATACAAATAGACTCCATTGGTCTAAAATAGTATATAACAGTTTATTTGAAAAATGTAAACATCAAAGTTAGACATAAAATCCAAACAGCTCTATCTTCAAAGCCTAAAAATGTCATGGTGTGGACATTTTGACCTGGTTGAGTTTGAATCCTGCCTGTCCTGTTGATTGTTGCCCCGCCCTAATGTGATTCACCTGTGTGTCCCTGTGTGTCCCTGTGTGTGTGTATATACCCTGTGCCCTTCCTCACTTGTTGTCCGTCCATTGTCTCCACAATGTTTGTCCTGTCTTCAGTTCTGTTTTTACATTACCTTGGATTTATTTTATTAAATTACTTTGATTTTCAGTCCTGCAATTTGGGTTCCCTTTTTCTTCATTCATCCACATGACAAAAAATTGGCTATACATAAATAAAACCGCAAAATACTGTGTAAACTGTCTATTTCAAGCCTTCAATATGGCTGAATTGAATTGATAAATACAATACTAGAACAAATAATGGCAAATATTATTAACAGTCCTAAAACAGTAAAATTCTGCTGAACAGCTTATGAACCGGGGCTTTTTTCAAACTAGCTCCCTCTCTTTTTCTAGAAAGCAATCTGCCTGTTTGGAAGAGCCCTATTGGCAAGTGTGAAATGCTGCAAAGCAGTTGCATTCACTTTGCAAGCACAGGTACACATTGCATGTCATGCATCGGACACAGGATTTTCCAATGCAGTCTTGTGCTCTGCAACGCATGGGGTTTTTCAAGGCTACCATCTCCGGGTTAGAGTTAGGATTACAATATCCCCAGTCGAGGTCAGCAGCTCTCCACCCGCACCATACACGGTGTTGGCAAAGCACTGCTTCCCCCTCCTGAGGCGCCGGAGGGTTTGCCATAACCTTTTTGAGGGCGACCGATAGTCATGCTCCATGGACTCTCCGAACTCCTCCCAGTGTCGGGTTTTTGCATCTGCAACAGCCCGGGCCGCGGCACGCTTGGCCTGCCGGTACTGGACAGCTGCCTCCGGAGTCCCACAAACCATCATTGCTCGATAGGACTCCTTCTTCAGCCTGACGGCATCCCTTACTGCCGGTGTCCACCACCGGGTTCGGGGATTGCCGCCGGGACCAGCACCAGAGACCTTGCGACCACAGCTACGAGCCGCTTTATTGGTGATAGAGGAAGAGAACATGGTCCACTCGGACTCAATGTCCCCCTCCTCTGGGTCCTGGGAGAAGCTCTCCCGGAAGTGTGAGTTGAAAGTCCGTCTGACAGGGGGCTCAGCGAGACGTTCCCAGCAGACCCTCACTATACGCTTGGGTCTGCCAGGTCTGACCGGCTTCTTCCCCTGCCAGCGGATCCAACTCACGACCAGGTGATGATCGGTTGACAGCTCCTCCCCTCTCTTTACCCAAGTGTCCGAGACACGCGGTCGAAGGTCAGATGATACGACAACAAAGTCGATCATCAACCTCCGGCCTAGGGTGTCCTGGTGCCACGTGCACTGGTGGACACCCTTGTGCTCGAACATGGTGTTCGTGATGGACAGACCGTGACTGGCACAGAAGTCCAACAACTGAACACCGCTCGGGTTCAGATCAGGGGGGCCGTTCTTCCCGATCACCCCTCTCCAAGTGTCACTGGCATTTCCCACATGGGCGTTGAAGTCCCCCAGGAGAATAACGGAGTCCCCGGGAGGTGCACCGTCCAGTACCCCTCCCAAGGACTCCAAGAAGGCAGGAACTCGGCACTGCCGTTAGGCCCGTAGGCCGTCACAACAATGGGAGACTTGTCCCACCCGGAGGCGGAGGGACGCGACCCTCTCATTCACCGGGGAGAACTCCAACACATGGCGGCTGAGATGGGGGGCAATGTGTATGGCCACCCCAGCTCGCCGCCTCTCCCCGTGGGAAACACCAGAAGATGACTGACAGGTATGAGATGATGATACAATCATCCCCATCTGAGAAGTCCTCTATCTCAGAGTTGTCTGCAATTGCCAACAGCAATTGTTCTGCTCTTGACAATGAAAGTGTGCCTGTAATGATAATTTTAAAAACCAACATCAAAATCTACAGTATATCAGTGACACTTCATAGCTTGGCTATCATGTGCTAGCTATAGCCTAGCTATATTGTTTATGATTTAGAATTTAGCAACACTAAACAATACTTAGCATATACCACTTAGTACTTAAATATACTATTTACAACTGTAAACCACATAACTAAGCAAATGTGTGATTCAAAATAACTATTTACAACTGTAACTTCATCTAAATCTTCCACACGGTTAGCTAAACAGATAGCGGTACATAGTCCTAGCGTCCTCAAACGAGTGCTTCACTTTTACTGACATCCTAGCCTGCTACTACAATCAAAATTTGTCAAATTTCAAACTCCATATGAAGCTAGAGACATTATTGTGCATAAAAAAATTGATTTCATTCATAAAATGTTGATAGAATTTTTACCTGGGGCATTTTTCTTCTGTAAACTCTTGTAGAAGTCTTTTGCTGATATTGCCACCATTTTTTTCCTACTGCCTTAAGTGTAATTCTATCATATCACCACAAGATGGCGCGGGCAGTGTCCCTAAATGTGGCCATCAGGTCAAGGATGTAAAAAATTTAGTATCATTGTGCCAAGAGGCAAAAATGTAATGTCCTCGTATGAGGTCGCAGGGTCTCAGGAGGTTAAAAAGATTAAAGATAAAAACAAATGTAAAATCATTCACTTGTATGCACAGCTAAAAAGAACTGTTTTCAGTTCAGTTTTAAAAACTGCTAGAGTACACGCCTGTCTCACACTCTCGGGAAGACGGTTCCAGACTCTAGCTGCATGAATCTGAAACGCAGCCTCCCCATGTCTAGTTCCGACTCTTGGCACTAACAGAAGTCCAGTCCCTGTGCTCCTCAGAGTCCGAGTTGGTTCATATGGCACCAACATGTCGCGGATGTACCCTGGTGCGAGGCCATGGAGAGACTTGTACACAAGTAAAGCTACTTTAAAATCTATTCTCTGAGCCACAGGAAGCCAGTGCAGAGACCTGAGGACCGGACTAATGTGGTCGTACTTCCTGGTTCTAGTCAGGACTAATGTGGTCGTACTTCCTGGTTCTAGTCAGGACTCGAGCTGCTGCATTTTGAATGTACTGCAGCTGTTTTACCGCTTGTTTAGAGAGACCTGTGAACAAGCCATTGCAGTAGTCCAATCGACTGGAGACAAATGCGTGGATAAGAATCTCCAAGTCTGCTTTAGACACAATGTTTTTAATTTTAGCAATGTTTCTTAGGTGGAAGTAAGCTGATGATGTCACAGATGATATGTGGCTATTGAAATTCAAGTCTGAGTCCATTATTACTCCTAGATTTCTGACCTGAGTTGAGGGTTTCAGGGAGAGAGACTGGAGGTGGCAGATAACGCTCTCTCTTTGTTTCTGAGGTCCGAAAACAATAATTTCAGTTTTTTCTGTGTTTAGCTGGAGAAAGTTATTTTGCATCCAATCACTGATCTGTTGGATACAGTGAAGGAGCGAGTCCACTGGTCCATGTTCTCCTGCTGTCAGGGACACATAGACCTGAGTATCGTCAGCGTAATTGTGATAGGACACGTTATTACTGTGTATTAACCTACCCAGAGGCAGCATGTAAATATTAAACAGGAGAGGCCCCAGGATTGATCCCTGTGGCACTCCGCAGGTCAGGGCCAGATGGTCTGAGACACAGTTTCCGATCTCCACAAAATACTACGTAAACGTAAAAAGTTAACTTTGTCTTCTTATGTTTAAGGCGCAGAAGGTTATTTTAATAAGACAAACGATGTAAAGAAGTACTTTTAATTTAAGTACTGCTTAATTACCACATGTTTTGGCAGAAAACTTGCAAACGATTGAGATCAGGAAGCAGCCCACAGACCATGAACAGGGACGAGGGGCCTTCACCTTGGCTCACACTTGGGACTCACTTTCTGCAGAGACCACAGGGGGGTGTGGTCAGTCTGCGGGGGCGTGGTCAGTCTGAGGGGGTGTGGTCAGTCTGAGGGGGTGTGGTCAGTCTGAGGGGGTGTGGTCAGTCTGAGGGGGCGTGGTCAGTCTGGGGGTGTGTGGTCAGTCTGAGGAGGTGTGGTCAGTCTGAGGGGGCGTGGTCAGTCTGAGGGGGTGTGGTCAGTCTGAGGGGGCGTGGTCAGTCTGAGGGGGTGTGGTCAGTCTGAGGGGGCGTGGTCAGTCTGAGGGGGTGTGGTCAGTCTGAGGGGGTGTGGTCAGTCTGAGGGGGTGTGGTCAGTCTGAGGGGGCGTGGTCAGTCTGAGGGGGTGTGGTCAGTCTGAGGGGGCGTGGTCAGTCTGAGAGGGTGTGGTCAGTCTGAGGGGGCGTGGTCAGTCTGAGGGGGCGTGGTCAGTCTGAGGGGGTGTGGTCAGTCTGAGGGGGTGTGGCCAGTCTGAGGGGGTGTGGTCAGTCTGAGGGGGTGTGGTCAGTCTGAGGGGGTGTGGTCAGTCTGAGGGGGCGTGGTCAGTCTGAGGGGGTGTGGCCAGTCTGAGGGGGCGTGGTCAGTCTGAGGGGTATTTCTTTTTCCATATGCAGTATACTGTGTATTGCATATTTTCTTTTAACTATGGATCGTATTGTATTGTGTCCTTAATAAAGATTAATAACACAAATAAATAGTCTGAAATAAAATCTCTCTAAGCTTTAGTATTGGGTTGATCCAAACTATGTATCTAATTAGCATATTGTCATGCACCGCTGTATAATTGTGCAGCTATTTGCTCCATTGTTTTTAGAGCACAATGGGAGAGAGCAGATGAGGGTGGATGAGGGTGGTGGGTGGATGAGGGTGGATGAGTGTGGATGAGGGTGGTGGGTGGATGAGGGTGGATGAGTGTGGATGAGGGTGGTGGGTGGATGAGGGTGTTTGGAGCCGTCTCCCCAGAGCCTCTTCTGCCCAGTGCCACAGATCAACAGCCAGCCGGGCACTGACCCCATCCTGTCCCTTCTCCCTCCCTCCCCCTCCCTCCCCCTCGCAGCAGCCTCTCCCTCCTCCCCCTCGCAGCAGTCTCTTCCTCCCCCTCCTCCCCCTCGCAGCAGCCTCTCCCTCCCCCTCCTCCCCCTCGCAGCAGCCTCTCTATCCCCTGAGCTGGAGGCCTTTGCTGTCCCCATGTCTCCGCCCTGAGCCAAAGTCCTGTCCTGCCTCTAACAGTGCGTCTCTGCCTGGCCGCCTCTCTGTCCAGCCCATCCCTCCATCATTTTACCTCCGTCGCCCGGTCTCTCTGCTGTTGTGTCTGTTGTGTCTGTTGCTCTGTCTGTGTGCCTGGGTGTCTGCCTGTCCATCTGCCTGTCTGTCTGCCAGCCCCTGGGTTTGGACAGTGCCTCAATGCCAGGCTGGCAGTCACTCCGCCAATCTGCTGCCGTCTCTGCCGTCATCTGCTCATGTGTCGATCTGATGTTTACCTGTCTATCTCTCCATCTGTGTTAAATCCCTCCTTCAGCTTTATGTCTACATTAGATCAACCACATGCTTTTTATCCATCAACATCAGCCACATTTTTATCTGAAATACTACGATTATGTCTAAAAATAGCTCCACAGCATCGTACAGCACGTTTGAGGCGCTGTCCATGGTCCTGAAATCAAGGCAAACTGTATGAGGTTTGTGACAATACCGCCTCCCTCTCTCCCCTTTCCTCCCCCCCACCACCTTCCTCTCTCCCCTTTCCTTCCCCTACCCCCACCTCCCTCTCTCCCCTTGCCTCTCCCCCACCACCTCCCTCTCTCCCCTTTCCTCCCCCCCACCACCTCCCTCTCTCCCCTTTCCTCCCCCCCACCACCTCCCTCTCTCCCCTTTCCTCCCCCTACCCCCACCTTCCTCTCTCCCCTTTCCTTCCCCTACCCCCACCTCCCTCTCTCCCCTTGCCTCTCCCCCACCACCTCCCTCTCTCCCCCTTCCTCTCCCCCGCCTCCCCCATCACCTCCCTCTCTCCAATTACCTCCCCCACCACCTCCCTCTCTCCCCTTTCCTCCCCCTACCCCCACCTTACCTCTCTCTTTGCCTCTCCCACCACCACCTTCCTCTCTCCCCCTTCCTCTCCCCCCCGCCTCCCCCATCACCTCCCTCTCTCCAATTACCTCCCCCACCACCTCCCTCTCTCCCTCTGCCACTCTCACCATCACCTCCCTCTCTCCCCTTGCCTCCCCTCTTGGTTCTTCTCAAGCAAAGCCTGCACTGCGTGTTCACGTCAAGGACTCTCACAGAAGAAGAACAAAGGCAGAGGAAGAGGAAGAGGAAGAGGGAGATGAAGATGAAGAGGAAGAGGGAGATGAAGCCAGATACAACTGAGAGTGTGGTGCTGGTATCTTTGGAATTATAAATTTAAAAATAACAGCAATGGATTATTTTCTGTAACGGTTCAAAAACCTCCAAAAGCTTTAAATAAAAATAATATAATCTTAATAACACATGTCAAACAGCGAATGACGAGAAAAAATACACTGGTTTTTTAAAGTCACGGCGGCAGAAATCTGAGCCCCAGACATCTATCTCTCTCTATCTCTCTCTATCTATCTAGTCTCTCTATCTCTCTCTCTTGTCTCTCCTCTCTGATACATGCACTCACACACACACTAACACACACTCATAGACACTAACACATACACACTCACACACATGTGTTTAGTGCTCAAGGAAACCGGTGCACCTGGAGAAAACCTACACAGTCCCAGGGAACATGCAAAAAGGAGGGGAAGAAAATAGATGGATATTTATTATAATAGAATAATAAAAATGAAAACTATAAGTATATCTTTCACATTTTGTGATAGTTTGTGCCTTCGACAGTGATTGGTCGGACTGACGCTGAACAGAGCAGGTGATTGGTCCGAGCAAAATATTTCTGAGGTCGTGTAAATATTTAAATTAGTCATTAAATTTTTAATTGGTAAAAGCTTCTCCCTAAAAACCTTTAAGATCCAAATGTTAGTCCATGATTTACATGAAATGTAATCATTTCTCTGTGGTTAGCTCAGGGCTGGGCCATTTGGCTGAAAACTATATCTCAATAAAAGTGATTCATATCGGTCAATATCAATAATTATTTTTAATTTTTTTAATGTATTTTTTTATACCTAAATAAATACATTTGTTGTGTCGGCTAACACACGTTAGCAACTCTTGTTTACAGTCACGGGGAATGAGACTGGAAGAATATGTTCACACAGGGTCCCCCACTGTTAGTCCTGCTTTAGTCCTGCTTTAGTCCTGCTTTAGACCTGCTTTGGTCCTGCTTTAGACCTGCTTTAGTCCTGCTTTAGACCTGCTTTAGACCTGCTTTAGACCTGCTTTAGTTCTGCTTTAGTCCTGCTTTAGTCCTGTTTTAGTCCTGCTTTAGTCCTGCTTTAGTCCTGCTTTAGTCCTGCTTTAGTCCTGGTCTAGCTCTCTGATAGCCGCATATGCTGTTCCTCAAACACGTGTCTATTGTGATATATATCGTTTCATCGCCCAGCCCTAGCTTAGCACTCTCACTTTCTGCGTAAGTTTCCTCCAGGTGCTCCAGTTTCCCCACTACTAAAAACATGTACAATAGGTCTGAATGTAGTGAGTGAGTGGAGGGTGTTTGGTCGGAGGCTTTGATGGACCAGTGTCTCTCCTCTGTCATCACGAGAGAATGGTCTATGGTCAAAATGTGCTATATAAAAAAACATGTCTTACTCACTACTGGTCAAATGTGCAGAGATTAGTCGCAACTTTCCCTGTCCCTGTGTGTCCTCCCTGTCCCTGTGCTCGTCCATGTCCCTGTGCTCTCCATGTCCCTGTGTGTCCTCCCTGTCCCTGTGCTCTTCCATGTCCCTGTGTGTCCTCCCTGTCCCTGTGCTCTTCCATGTCCCTGTGTGTCCTCCCTGTCCCTGTGCTCGTCCATGTCCCTGTGCTCTCCATGTCCCTGTGTGTCCTCCCTGTCCCTGTGCTCTTCCATGTCCCTGTGTGTCCTCCCTGTCCCTGTGCTCGTCCATGTCCCTTCTGTGCTCTCCATGTCCCTGTGTGTCCTCCCTGTCCCTGTGCTCTTCCATGTCCCTGTGTGTCCTCCCTGTCCCTGTGTATCCTCCCTGTCCCTGTGTGTCCTCCCTGTCCCTGTGTGTCCTCCCTGTCCCTGTGTATCCTCCCTGTCCCTGTGTGTCCTCCCTGTCCCTGTGCTCTTCCATGTCCCTGTGCTCTTCCATGTCCCTGTGTGTCCTCCCTGTCCCTGTGTATCCTCCCTGTCCCTGTGTGTCCTCCCTGTCCCTGTGTGTCCTCCCTGTCCCTGTGTATCCTCCGTGTCCCTGTGCTTTCCCTGTCCCTGTGCTCCTCCGTGTCCCTGTGCTCCTCCCTGTCCCTGTGCTCTCCCTGTCCCTGTGCTCTTCCTGTCCCTGTGCTCTCCCTGTCCCTGTGCTCCTCCCTGTCCCTGTGCTCCTCCGTGTCCCTGTGCTCTCCCCTGTCCCTGGTGCTCCTCCCTGTCCCTGTGCTCTCCCTGTCCCTGTGCTCTCCTGTCCCTGTGCTCTCCCTGTCCCTGTGCTCTCCCTGTCCCTGTGCTCCTCCGTGTCCCTGTGCTCTCCCCCCAGTCCCTGTGCTCCTCCCGTGTCCCTGTGCCTCTCCCTGTCCCTGTGCTCCTCTGCCGTGTCCCTGTGCTCCTCCTGTCCCTGTGCTCTCCCTGTCCCTGTGGCTCCTCCGTGTCCCTCGTGCTGCAGACTGGTGTTTACAGTTCCTCCCACTCCGAGGCACAGCTCAGAGTAAAACGTCTCTGCAGCTCCGTGGCTAATCCCTGTTGTGGATTGGCCCACTTTGAGGTTCCCGGCTTTTGGAAGGGAATGCTAAACTGGGGATGAGGAGGTGTGGGGGGGGTGAGGAGGTGGGGGGGGGGGGTGAAGGTAGATGTGGGGGGAGGGGAGGGCGGGGGTTGAGGAGGTGGGGGGGGGGGGGGCGGGGGGGGGGGGGGGGCGGGGGGGTGGGGGGGGGGGGGGGGGGGGGGGGGGTGGGGGGGGGGCAAGAAGAAAATCCTAGGATACTTACGGGTGGGCGGAGGAGGGGGGGGTGTATAGGGGGGGGGGGGGGGGGGAGGTAGGGGGGTGGGGGGGGGGGGGGGGGGGGGAAGAGGAGGGGGGGGGGGTGGGGGGGGAGGGGAGCGGGGGGGGGGGGGGGGGCGGGGGGGGGGGGGGGGGGGGGGGGGGGGGGGGGGGGGGGAGGGGGGGAAGGGGGCGGGGGGGGGAGAGGGAGGGGGGGGGGCAGGGGGGGGAGGGGGGGGGGGGGGGGGGGGGAGGGGGGGGGGAGGGCGGGAGGGGGGAGAAGGGGGCGGGGGGGGAGGGGGGGAGGGGGGGGGGGGGCGGCGAGGGCGGGGGGGGAGGGGGGGGGGGGGGACGGGGGTGCGGGGGGGGGGGGTCGGGGGGGGGGGGGGGGGTCGGGGGGGGGGAGGGGGTGGGGGGGGGGGGGGGGGGGGGGGGGGTGGGGGGGGGGGGGGCGGGGGGAGGGGGGGGGGGGGGGCGGCGGGCGGGGGGGGGAAGGTCGGGGAGGGGAGGGGGAGGGAGGGGGCGGGGGTAGGGAGGGGGGGGGGCGGGGGGGACGGGGGGGGGGGCCGGGAGGCCGGGGGGGGGGGGGGGAAGGAGGGGGGCGGGGGGAGAAGGGGGGGGGGGGGTTCCGGGGGGGGGGGGGGGGGGGGGGGAGGGGGGGGAGGCGGGGGGGGGGGGGGGGGGGGGGGGGGGGGGGGGGGGGGGGGGGGGGGGGGGGGGGGGGGGGGGGGGGGGGGGGGGTGGGGGGGGGGGGGGGGGGTGGGGGGGGGGGGGGGGGTGATGGGGGGGGGGGGGAGGGGGGGGGGGGGGGGGGGGGGGGGGGGGGGGGGGGGGGGGGGGGGGGGGGGGGGAATTGGGGGGGGGGGGGGGGGGGGGGGGGGGGGGGGGGGGGGGGGGGGGGGGGGGGGGGGGGGGGGGGGGGGGGGGGGGGGGTTTGGGGGGGGGGGGGGGGGGGGGGGGGGGGGGTGGGGGGGGGGGGGATGGGGGGGGGGGGGGGGGGGGGGGGGGGGGGGGGGGGGGGGGGGGGGGGGGGGGGGGGGGGGGGGGGGGGGGGGGGGGGGGGGGGGGGGGGGGGGGGTGGGAGGAGGCATGCGGGGGGGTTGTTTGTGGGTTTGGGTTGTGTTGTTGGTTTTTTGTTGGTTGGGTTGTGGGGGGTGGGGGGTTTTGGTGCGATGTTATCTGTGTCATTCTTTGTTTCTTCCCCCCGAGTGTCCTCCTCTCTTCATCTGGCTGCAGAAACATCTTTTCGTATCCATTCGCACATCCTGTCTTCCCCCACTGTGGCTTCTTGTCTGCTCCTGTGCTTCTCGTCTCTTTTTCCCCCCCTTTTTCCACCCCTCCTCCCTCTCCGTCTCGTTCTCGTCTCTGTTCTTTCTGTGTTCTGTTACCTGAATGTGCCGGAGACCAGCTGATGTGTTGTGTAAAAGTGTGCCCAGTCCCAATAAAACCTCACGGGCCGCCAAATAACAACCAACCCCAAGCAACCCCCACACCCCGCTGAACACAACACACGGTATGTACTCTCCCTCTTTTTCTCTGTGTGTTGTTTCTTCTGAAGAAGAATGGGATGGAAGTCACACACTAACTACGCTGCACCCTGCTGTCCGTGTAGAGAGAGTTAGGCTCTCTCAGGTCGCAATCTCCTGCTGTCTCTCATCCTCCATACCTCTCTCTTTCTGAGGGGGGGGGGGGGGGGGGGGGGGGGGGGGGGGGGGGGGGGGTGGGGGGGCGGGGGAATATTGCCGAGTACGTATTCCTCTGGTATCTCTCTCCTCTGGTCTCTCTCCTCATCTCTGGTCCTCTCCTCTCACTCTGGGCCTCACTCTCTCTCATGGTCTCTTCCCCTTCTCTTTTTGGTCTCTCTCTCCTCTCTCTCCTCTCCCTCCTGGTCTCATCTCTGGGCTCGCTTCGCTGGTCGCATCAGCTCTCCTAACTCTCTACCTTACTAATCTCTACTTACCTCCTCTACTCCTACTCTCTCTCCTGGTCTCATTCTGTCCTCTGTCTCTCTCCTCTCTCTCTGGTCTCTCTTCACACCTCCTCTCCCCCTCTCTGGTCGCTCTCTCTGGTCCTCTCTCTGTCCGCTGGGCTCTTCTCCTCCTGGTCTCTCTCTCTGGTCCCTCCATCTCCTCTCTCTCTGGTCTCTCATCTCTGGTCTCAGTCTCTACTCTCCTCTTAAAACTTCTCTAGTATACGCTACTTCCCTCTCTCCCTTCTACTCACTCTCTCCGTCCGCTCTCTCTCACTCTCTCTCTCTGGTACTCCTCTTCTCTGGTCCACTCTGTCTCTGGTCTCGCATCTTCTCGTCTCATCTCTGGTCTCTCTCTCTGGTCTCTGCTCTCTGGTCTCTCTCTCTGGTCTCTCTCTTTGGTCTCTCTCTCTGGTCTACTCTCTCTGGTCTCTCTCTCTGGTCTCTCTCTTCTGGTCTCCTCTCGTCTGGTCTCTCTCTTCCTCCTCCCTCTCCTTCCTCTCTCTACTCTGGTCTCTCTCTCTGGTCTCTCTCTCTGGTCTCTCTCTGGTCTCTCTCTCTGGTCTCTCTCTGGTACTCATCTCTGGTCTCTCTCTCTGGTCTCTCTCTCTGGTCTCTCTCTCTGGTCTCTCTCTCTGGTCTCTCTCTCTGGTCTCTCTCCCTGGTCTCTCTCTGGTCTCTCTCTGGTCTCTCTCTCTGGTCTCTCTCTGGTCTCTCTCTGGTCTCTCTCTGCTCTCTCTGGTCTCTCTCTGTCTCTCTCTGTCTCTCTCTGGACTCTCTCGCTCTCTCTCTGGTCTCTCTCTCTGGCTCTCTCTCTCAACTCTGGTCTCGCTCCATCTGGTTCTCTCTCTGGTCTCTCTCTCTGGTCTCTCTCTCTGGTCTCTCTCTGGTCTCTCTCTCTGGTCTCTCTCTGGTCTCTCTCTGGTCTCTCTTTGGTCTCTCTCTCTGGTCTCTCTCTGGTCTCTCTCTTACTCAACTGGTCTCTCCTCTACTCTCTCTCTGGTCTCTCTCTCTGGTCTCTCTCTCTGGTCTCTCTCTCTGGTCTCTCTCTGGTCTCTCTCTGGTCTCTCTTTGGTCTCTCTCTGGTCTCTCTCTGGTCTCTCTCTGGTCTCTCTCTGGTCTCTCTCTGGTCTCTCTCTGGTCTCTCTCTGGTCTCTCTCTGGTCTCTCTCTCTGGTCTCTCTCTGGTCTCTCTCTCTGCTCTCTCTCTGCTCTCTCTACTCTCTCTCTGCTCTTCCTGCAGCAGCCGCACTAATAACCACCAATTATTGGACTGTACATCAGTGACAAGGAGAGGACAGAGAGAAATAAGAGTGTCTGTGTTCGGGGCTTGTTAGCTCAAAGGTACACCACTTTCATACTCGCTGACTTTTGCCAAACTACAGCAGGCAGCATCAGGCAGCATCAGGCAGCATCAGAGCAGCATCAGAGCAGCATCAGAGCAGCATCAGGCAGCATCAGGCAGCATCAGAGCAGCATCAGAGCAGCATCAGGCAGCATCAGGCAGCATCAGGCAGCATCAGGCAGCATCAGGCAGCATCAGAGCAGCATCAGGCAGCATCAGAGCAGCATCAGGCAGCATCAGAGCAGCATCAGAGCAGCATCAGGCAGCATCAGAGCAGCATCAGGCAGCATCAGAGCAGCATCAGGCAGCATCAGGCAGCATCAGGCAGCAGCATCAGGCAGCATCAGAGCAGCATCAGAGCAGCATCAGAGCAGCATCAGAGCAGCATCAGGCAGCATCAGAGCAGCATCAGAGCAGCATCAGAGCAGCATCAGAGCAGCATCAGAGCAGCATCAGGCAGCATCAGAGCAGCATCAGAGCAGCATCAGGCAGCATCAGAGCAGCATCAGGCAGCATCAGGCAGCATCAGAGCAGCATCAGGCAGCATCAGAGCAGCATCAGAGCAGCATCAGGCAGCATCAGAGCAGCATCAGAGCAGCATCAGAGCAGCATCAGGCAGCATCAGAGCAGCATCAGAGCAGCATCAGGCAGCATCAGAGCAGCATCATAGCAGCATCAGAGCAGCATCAGGCAGCATCAGAGCAGCATCAGAGCAGCATCAGCAGCATCAGGCAGCATCAGAGCAGCATCAGAGCAGCATCAGAGCAGCATCAGAGCAGCATCAGAGCAGCATCAGAGCAGCATCAGAGCAGCATCAGGCAGCATCAGCAGCAGCAGCATCAGAGCAGCATCAGAGCAGCATCAGGCAGCATCAGAGCAGCATCAGAGCAGCCATCATCAGGCAGCATCAGAGCAGCATCAGAGCAGCATCAGCAGCATCAGAGCAGCATCAGGCAATCAGGCAGCATCAGAGCAGCATCAGGCAGCATCAGAGCAGCATCAGAGCATCATGCAGCATCAGAGCAGCATCAGAAGCAGCATCAGAGCAGCATCAGCATCAGAGCAGCATCAGAGCAGCATCAGAGCAGCATCAGCAGCATCAGAGCAGCAACAGGCAGCAACAGGCACACAGCAGCATCAGAGCAGCATCAGAGCAGCATCAGGCAGCATTCAGGCAGCATCAGAGCAGCATCAGAGCAGCATCAGCAGCATCAGAGCAGCATCAGGCAGCATCAGCAGCATCAGGCAGCACAGAGCAGCAGCAGCAGGTCAAGCATCAGGCAGCATCAGGCAGCATCAGAGCAGCAAGGCACAGCATCAATCAGAGCAAAGCATCAGCAGACAAAAATAGAGAAGTAGCCACAAGCATCCAGCCAGGGCAGAGCATCAGGACGATCAGAGCAAAACAGCAATTCAGCAGAGCATCAGAGCAACAGAGCAGCATTCCCACCATGAACACAGCAACAACAAAGAGGAGCAGAGCAAAAAAGAGACATCCTACCACAGCAGCCAGGCCAACAGACCAGAGAAGGCAGCAGCATCAGAGAGCAGCAAGAACAACAAAAAGCAATCAGAGAAATCTTTCATCACATAGCCAAGCTCAAAGAATTCCAAAGAGTAGAGGTCCAGCCAGAAACATCATTCACACATCCAGCAGCCAGGCAGTCATCAGACAGCACGAGCATCCGAGACAAGCAGGAGAACGAGCTCAGATCAGGAAACAGAGAGACAGAGCAACATCAGAGCCAAAGAACAGTCAGAATCACAGAGCAAAGCACTCCAGTAGCACATGAAGACAGGGCAGAGCAGCCTCCAAAGGCAAGCATCCCAATCGAAAAGCATATTAAATATCATCATCAGCAACCGTCAAGGCTCAGTAATCTAGCAGTCATGCAAACAGCATCAGACAGAGGAAGGAGCAAGCACAGAGAAGCAGGCAAAAACAACACACAGTTTCACATCAGAGAGCAACAGAGCAAAGGAGCGCAAGACAGAGCATTTTAAGCAAGCATCAGAGGACAAGCACATCATAAATCATGTCAAGAAGAGGCAATCGCCAAGAGCAACAAATAAGCACAAGCATAGCATTCATCAATCAGCACAGTGCAGGCACAAGCATCCAGCATCCAGCAGTCAGCATCAGTCGATCATCTTCACAGGCAATAAGAGACAGCAGCATCATCACCGAGACTTCAGTCAGCATCAGAAAGGCATATCAGCTACACAAGCGAGCAGAGGACAAAAGCATCAGCTTATCAAGATCATTCAGGCACAACAAGAACAGTCAGGCAGAAAAGAGCATCAGAAGGTTCCTAGCATCAAAAAAAGAGAAACAGGCAATCATGAAGAGGCGATCATCAGCAGAGAATATCGCAGACGAGAGTACTTGGAGCAGGAAAGATCAGAAGGCACAGACCAGAGAAAACATCAGGGGCAGCTATCCATAGCAGGGAACAGAGAGAAGGAGAGCAGAACCCAACAGAAAGCAGAGGGGCAACAGCATCACCAGAAAGCAGAGCATCAATCACAATACAGAGAACGACAGAGGCAAAGGCAGAGTAGATCAGGAAAAGCAGCAAAAGAAGCAATCAGGGCACACAGCATCAGGGCAGAAGAACCAAAGAAAAGGCCAGCAAAAGCATCAATAAGCAATAATCAGAAGAGCCCAACTCTCAGAATCAAGGCCAGAGTCAAAAAAGCAATCAAGGAAGTCAGAGCAAAACAAAGGCACAAAGCATCAGCAGAGACATCAGAGAGGCAGCAGCAAGCCAAGCATCCTAGGCCGCATCAGGCAAGCACATCAGCAGCAGAGAAAGCAGAGACATTTTCACCGAGGCACCTCAAGACATACAAATCAAGGATCATCTTCAGCAAGGTCAGATAAAGAACATCCATCAGACAGCAGCCAGCAATAGATCAGGCACATACCAGCCACCAGTCAGGGGCGCATCAGATTCAGCAACATTCATGCAAGAATCAACAGCACAGCAGAAGCAAGAGCAGTCAGCAGGTCATAGCACAAAGCAACAGGAGCAGCATCAGGAGGAGCAAGAAGCAATCAGAGGGAGCAAAGCAATCCCCATAGGGGGGAAGTCAAAGAGAAAAAAGGCATCATAGCATCATCAGAAGACCCAGGAAGCAGCAAGGCACAGCATCAGGTCACATTCAGGCAAAGCACATCAGAGGGCCACAAGGAAGAATCCCCATCAGGGCAGCAAGCACAGCCAAGCATCATCAGAAGCAGCAAAAGAGCATATCAAAGGGTCAGGCAGCATCAGGTCACACAGCGGAATTCAGTCACAGAGTCAGGGATCAGTCAGATCAGAGGCATCAAACAGACACACCCCAGAACAGGCAACTTTCCATAGCAGGCAGGAGAAGGCAAACATCAGTCAGATAGAAGTCAGAGCATCAAGCAGAAGAGAGGACAGCAAGAGTCTCAGGCCCAAATCAAGGATCAGCAGCGAGTTCAGAAAAGCATCAGGCTCAAACAAAATACAAGCATCAAGGCAAAAAGAAGCATGACATCATCACAGAGAGCAGTCAGAATGGAGAGTCATAGCCGGAGAGCAACAAAAGCATCAAAAAAAGCTCACATCAGGCACAGACAAATAGAAGAAAAGCAAAACACAGCAGTACAGCAAATCAGAGGCAAGCATCGAAGGGAAAGGAGGATCAAAAACGACAAAGCATCAGGGAGATCATCAGCGCAAGGCAACAACACATCAACTTCAGGAGACACCACTCAGAGCAAGCATGCAGACCGGCAATCCCAGACACAGCCATTCCACAAGCCTCCCAGGCAGAATAGATACAGCATAAAGCATCAGGGAGGCCATAGGAAGCACAGCAAATCAAAGCATCCATCACAGACAGGGAAAGGAAGCAGGCTCATCCGCCAGCAGTACAGTCCCATCACAACATCACAGGAGGTCAGGAGTCCAGAGGAACCACACAGGGCAGCATCAGACCAGATCAGCAAATCCAGGGGGCATCAGAGAAGACGCAGCAATCACAGCATCAAGTAAGGCAACACCATCATAAAAGACAGCAATCAGGCAAGATGCGAACCATCAACAATCACATTCAGGAATATCTCAGGACAGCAGATCTCCAAGGCAGCAGCAGGAAGACAACATAGAGGAGAAGCCAGAGCACAGAGAGCACAATGCATCAGAGGTCATAAAAAGGCATCCAGCAGAATAAAGCACAAAACAAGACCCAGGGAAAGCATGCATGGCTCCAGCCAGTCACACCAAAAGCAAAGCAATAAGGCAAAACAAGCAGCGAACAAAAGGAGCAAGCACAAATCACGTCATAGACATCATCAGGCACAATCATCCAGAAAAGATCAAGATCAGACACTCATGGGTCATTGCCATCCATCAGGCAAGAAGAGGCACTAAGAGGATTCGCCAACAGAAGACTCAGCAGGCCCCACCGACAACATCACAGCCAAAGGCATCGCAATCAGCACAGCATCACATCGAGATCAAAAAGGTCACCGCAACACTCAGAAACAGAGCACAGAGCAGGGACAAGAAGGGGAGAGAACAGTCAGGAGCAAATCACAATCATAAGCAAAACATCAACGGAGAGCAACATCACAGTTCAGGCATAACCATGCAGGCCTCCACATGAGGCATCATAAGAGCAGCAAACAGCAAACAGAGGCAAGTCAGGAAGCGCAGCAGCATGACAAGGGCATCAGCAGGAACAGAGCAGCATCAAGCAGCATAACGAGCGAGGCAGCAAGCATGCAATCACAGATAGCAAAGACAAAAGACGCATCAGCAAAAAAAGACGATGACACAATAAAGCACACAAGTCAGAGCAGCATCAGTGCAAAAAAAAGGCATCAGTAGAGGCACGGCAAGCATCAGGAGCAGGCATAAGCACAGGAGAGGACCAGATCGCAACGCAAGAGAGCAGCAGCACACGCACACAAATCATCATCAGCAGGAGAGCAACAGAGCAGCCGGCAGTGGGCACTAAAAAAAGAGAAGAGCAGATCAAAGCACAGAGGCAGGCGATGGGAGAGTCAACAATCACACAGGCAAGCCCCCAGAGTTTCAGAGATCACAGATCAGCAAGAAAGCAAGCAGCAAACAACAGAAGGGCACAAGAGCATCAGGATCAAACAAAATCAGAGGAATGCACCAGGCAGCAATCCAGGACAGCAAGCAGCATCCGAGAGAGCAACAAAAGACCTCAAAGCAACAGCCAAAAAAGCAATCAGACATCAGAAAGAGCCTCATCAAGGAACAGAGACTTCAGCCACGGAATCCCAGGAACCGAGGCAGAAGCCATCAGAGGGGAATGCACCATCCCGACAACAGAGCACAACTCAGAGATCACATCCGGCAATATCCAGAGCAGAAGGCAAGAGCATCCAAGGCACACGAATACAGAGAAAAGCCAAAACATCCATGCGGCATTCCACAGCATTCAGCCAGAGTTACATCGCAGGGAGGCACAAGCATCAAAGGAAGCAGCATCAAGCAGCAAAAAACGGCCAAACATCTGAGAGCAGAAAGCCTGCAAATCCAAATCCCCAGGTCCAGGCAGCAATTCAAGGAGCATATCCAAAGTTCACAACATCAAACTCCCAACCAGCGTCAATTCAACCTGCATACAGCCCAATCAACATCACAGGAAGGTCAGGCACAAAGAGATACAGCCACAATTGAAAAGCACTTCAGAGAAAAAGAACTCAAAAAATCCAGTGAGAAGCATACATCACTAATCAAGGGGGAGGCGCAGCAAGCAAAATCCAGTCTACTACGGGCCCCAAACGGCACACGATAAACCCAACCATCCATAGCTAGCAGCCGTCCCGGCCGACAGCACATGCATACAGCAATCCAAGAATCACACGGGCAGCATAAAAAAGGAGCAGCCATCAATCAAGAGAGAGTGACATTCAGACAGGGGAGGGGAAATTCAACTCAAAATCAAGGCAGCACCCTTCCCAGGAGGAGGCCGATCAGGCCAGCACGAACAAAAGCACCAAAATACAACCGAGGAGACGGGGGTGACGCCGAGCAAGCAACCCCCCCAAAAGCCGCACCAGCCATCAGCAGCAGTATGCACATCATCGCCAAGAGCACCAGCATCACAGCAGGCAAGCAACCTAGAAAAAAAGCAACAATCCAAGCAGAAAACGCAAACCGGCACACAACGCATGTGGCAGTCACCACCCAGAAGCATCAACGGACAAAGAAGCACCGACGAACTGCGCCGCCATGCGTCAAACAAGCCGAATCCGACACCACAAGAAGCACCAGCAGCAGCACCACATCAGAATGCCCCGGACAATCAAAGAGCAGCACATCGCAGCATAATAGCTAAAGAGAACAAAAAGAAGCCATCAGCATTATCACACACATCAGAGCTCGAGCATCAGAAAAGGCAGACGAAGAATCAATGACACATAAGCGACAGAGCAATCACGGCTCAAATGCAGCCAATCTCGGCGGTTTGTCAGTATAAGAGCAATCCCAACTTAATACCGGAAGACAACCAAGCGAAAATAGGCAGGACACAGAGAGCAAAAGCATCACCAAAATCCAATAGCAGGATCACTTCACACCTCTCAGGGAGGCAGAGAGCAAAAAACACCCAGGACAAACAAAAGCAACGAGCCCCCTCCCCCCGGCATCGCGCAGCCATCACGAGTCAGCCAGAAATAACCAAAGGGGTGCCGTTAATCAGGGAACGATGGTAGAACAGCAAAAAATCAGCCATTCTCCGAGTGCAGCAGGCAAACAAGGGCCGTACAGCCACGTGGCACAAATTCAGGCCATCCAATCCAATCCAAACAAATAGACAGGCAATATCCGATCAGGCAGAGGAATCAGCATCTACAGGCCAAGCATACAGCAGGAGCAGGCGCAGAACACAGAGAGCAAGAGAGCAGCAAGACATCAGGCAGTCGTCTGCATCAGCAAGTGCAAGAATCACGAGTTCATTTCCCTCCCAGCCAGGGAAGTAAGCAGACAGGGAGCACAAGGGCCAGGCCACCAGAAAGTTACAGGCAGAAGCACAGAGCCATCACCGACCAGGCACACCAATCAGCAATATAAGCAAGCCATCAGATCCATCAGAATAGAGGTCCTGATCAGAGCTAAAGCAAAAAGAGAAGAAAGGGAGCACAAAAGAGGTGCAGAGCAGCAATGCAGGAGAGAAAAGCATCCAAAAAAAAGCATCCAACAAGAAGCAGCAGCATCCAGGCCCATAACCCCAATCCCAAGTAGGCAGATAAGCATCCCAATGGGCAGAGTATCAGCAGGAGGGGGGCAGCAGGCATCACACAAGCCAGGGGACAGAGGAGGCAAGAGCATCAGCATTCAGTTTAGGCAGCAATCAGGCAGGCGGGGAGATCTAAGGAAGGGGCAGGCAAGCAATCACCAGAAAGGCAGGGCAAGCGCCAGAATCGGGGGAGTATCAGGGGGGAATCAACAAAGAGCAACCACAAGAGCAATACAAAGAGCAGTTCCAGGAGTCACAGTTCGAGGGCAGGGCGAGTCAACATCAGCATCGCAGGGGGCAGAAGCCTATCAGCAAAATCAGGCAGGAAGCAGAGGAATCAGACAGGGGCAAGCAGCATCCAGATCAGAGGCACGTCAAATTTCACTCGACAGGGCAGAGAGCAACATCAGCCAACAGGCATAAGCGGGACCAGGCAGAGTCCGATCACCATCACGGATCAGCACAGGGTCCAACATAGGACAGGATCAGCCACCATCAGGAGGGCAGTCAAGCCAAAAAAAGCAATCAAAGTCAATATCATGATCACAGCCACAGAAGGGCAAATGATTCAGGAGAGCCGGATCAAGCAGGGCAAGGACGGTTCAGCAAAACAGACAGGTGGCAGCAGGGGGGGGGGGGGGGGTGGGGAAGTCAGGACAGCACAGCAAGGACATTCAGGAGTTCTAAAAGCATCAGCTATCACCAAAGGAGCCAGCAAAAGCAATCGAGACAATAGCATGCATATCACAGAGGCAGTTCAGGATCCATCCACAGCAGGGCAAGCGATCAACCTCATATCATTATCATAGCAGGGCAGGGCATCAGGCAGCAATCGCCCAGGGGCCATCCAAGGGCAAAGAAAAGCAGGCCCAGGGGGCAGAAACACTCCAGGCACCAGGAAGGCAAGAAAAAAAGAAGCATCAGCCATCACACAGACAGGCACCAAACAGCAAGGTGGAAGAAGGCAGGGGAAGGCACAGGCAAGGAAAGCAATCAGGACATCCATGCACCCAGAGCAAAAAAAGAAACAAGAGAAAAAGGAGGCACATCAAGAAGGAGGAGAGGCAAAACAAAAAGGCATCAGAGGAGCCAGAGAATCAGAAGGGAGCAGCAACACACAGATGAGGTGTATGCCGGTAGATTAAACAGAGAAACTCCCGGCGCCCCGCCCGACCTCCTCGCGAGGCCCGGAGATGCAAACAACAAACGAGAGCCCTCATACCGCCCGGCTCATCCCCTTGTCACAACGACCGTACAGATGGCACCCCTCCCAACAGTCATCCCAAACCAGGACACAGGCCCAAAAACAAGCATCTCAGCCTCCTCCAGCGGGTCACGGGGCAACAGAACAACCTAAAGGGCGGGAGATGGCCATAGCGCCGCGGCGCGTGGGACTCACACACCACCGCGGCCCCACAAGGGCATGGCAGGTCAGTCCCCATCCCCCGCCAAGGGCATTTCATCCTCAGGATCACAAGGTCCGGCAAAGCAAATGAAAGCTATCAGAGGAGCAGAGAGGGGAGCAACAAGCATGCCATCAGAAGGCAGGCATGAGGCAGCATCCAGAGTCACCCACATCTCAGCCCAGAAGAATCAGGAGCAAAGCATCCATCAGTGATCTCCAGGGGGGTTCAACCACAAGGCGCCCCAGCCACAGGGAGACCATCAAGTAATCAGTCCACATCAGACAGCACAGGATTCCTCCTAGTGAGACTTCAGGATCACACTCCAACCATCGCCAGGACCAGGGATATCA